TCTAATCTGACTGAGCTTAAAGGTATAGTGGTGATTTTCGCAAATTTTCGAAAAGACCCGCCCTCTCCACATGCACAACACTGTACCAGCTCCCGAGAGGGAACGCCTATTGAACACATGCAAGAGCATGCACGAGCCCATTTCTCCTCGTGCACGCTCTGTTTAAAAGTTGCTGTATGCATTGCTTACCTTCCAAAAGATTTGCAATTTTTCCACTATGTCAAACTCACCGCCGGTAAGTGAAAATAAGAACAAGCACGCAGGACGGTCTTACGTAAACATATCACCAGAATGATTGACAATTAGGAGGACCATTTATTTTGATGATCCACCTGGATAAAGAACATCCTCCACTATACCTTTAAGCTATTTTGTAAAAAGGAAAGGGAATATGTTTTAGCCTGTGGATGTGCTAAAGTGGGCAGAAACGTGCTTTAAAAAAATGTGAGGAAAAAGGTTATTCTAACAAGTTTTAACTAGGATTCAGAATACAAATGCACGCCACACTTCCCAGAGTCTCCCTTATAAAAATTTAAAAAAACATCTATTTATGAAAACATGTTTTTGTGTGATTATATCCGAATTTCTGCTGGTCTATCACCAGGAAAACCAATAAAAACACATATTGACAAAATATCCAAAACTTAAAACGGTGTCTGTAGTTCTGCATTCAACATTTTAGGTAAATAAACGTAATGTAAATGCTGCCATTTCTACAGAATAGCAGATTCGGCCACAAAGTAAAACAGAATAAAAAAAAGTTAACCAGTACAAACCTGACCACCTCTGGCCAGTTCTGCTCTCACGGCGCTCAGATATTTTTTGACCTCCTGAGCATGTTTTTTCCCCTGAAGTTGGAGCATATACAGGGCATTACTACCAAAATTCATCCAATCGAAATGGTCAATACATTTATATAAAAAAATCCACAACTATGACTTGGTCAGCCACGCTCACCTTATAATGGGCCAGCCGATTGGATTCAAACAACAGGTTAGAAGAGCAAACATGGCAATAATACTCTGTGAGGAGACCCTCTAGTAGTTCCTCGTCACTTTTCTGTTCTGCATGACAAAACAGCATTAAAAAAAATTTAACAAGAACAAATAAAAATGCGTGAAGCAACAAAATATTATGCTAAACGAGCTTCTTCATTAAATCTCTAATAAAGAGACATTTGAGGACTATTTGTTAACAATGCAAACTTACAGGTGTGTCTTAACAAAGTGTCAATGTCAGCCGACTTTAGATTTTATCTATACAGGACAGGAAAACTGTCTTTAATCTTTTAAACCCATTTAGAAAAGTAGTAAATAATCAAGAACTTTCAACTTGCATACAGTGAGCTCAAATACACACACACAAATATCTCTCTCTCACTCTCTCTCTCTCTCTATATATATATATATATATATATATATATATATAATATATTTTTTTTTTTTTTACTTGGAATACTAGCAGAAAAAAATAACTATTTGCTTTACATTTTAGAACAGCTTAAAATGTTATCACTATTTTACTCTGTTTTAATGTGAGGACAATATTTCTGTATAAATGCCTCAATCTTTTGTCATACATACCTCAGACATTAAAAAAACTACCTCTTAATAAAAATGGACCTTCATCAGTTACTTAAAGTTTTTTTAATTTTACCATAAGTAGGCTAATGGTATAACAGGAAGGAAAACTATAAGATTTGATTCTTATTTGGCATTTAATGGGAAATGAATCATCAGCTGATAAACACTAAATACCACACAGGAAGTGTGTATGATTTCACAGCACTGGTATCATCTCAGTCTGTTGCTATGTTTTTCTCTCTGCTGTTTAAAAGTTTAAAACTTTCTTTAAATATAAGCATCATGCAAACATGGATCCAATGGTGCCAACATAATCCTGTTCTTGTGTCCTTTGAATAATACATTCAGATGGTTGGGCTTAATAAATTGGTGTTTGGTGTCACTTTTCCACAACAAACTTTATTTATATATCATGTAATACTGCCTATAAACACACAAAAGAATAATGACATAAATCAATAAAAATACTTTTCCTTTTTTAGGACTTTGTTACATTTTCCAAATATTTTATTATTTAACTGAATAAACTTGATATATTTAGTTATATGTTGTATTATATACATAACATAACATGTTAAGAGGGAAAAAGGTTAAAAAAAAAACAAATTTCTTTACTGTTTTTCCTACAGTTTTAGTCCCCTTAACAAGGGAAACCCCGTGTGACCACGGATCAGAGTATTGTTGCCACAAACTGTTGTACATATTGTGCATTTAAAGACATACAGGTGTTGTTCTTAAAGTTAATTATGAATGTTGTATACAAAAGTCAAGCTGTGGAGAATAAAACAGTGCAATTTATCTTTTACGAAGATAACACTTAAAGAATCAAATCTAATTAGCATGATAATTTAATCTTGTTGTAATTCTGTTACTCTATAAATTACAGAATAGTTACAAGAGGAAATTTACTCTAATACTTTAAAATCGCTAGCAATTAGACCATGGTGATTATTTTCTTATCTTAAATTTATTTGAAATGAAATGCATCCACACACCTGACTTACATAAATGGGTAATTAGAGCTGAGATGCAAGTATGGAATACACTGCATAAAAATAACCTTAACTTAGTACTACACTACAGCAAACTAAAGTTATTAATGATACAGATCTCATAAAACTTATTTAGATAGGGATCAAAATGTGCTCCCTGGTGCATTAATATTTACTAAAATAGGGTGTAATATGAATAGTACTTTAACAGGTCAATCAACAGTTTATTGCATCTGCATCAGGTCAGTCTGGATAGATCGAGTAGCTGTCAAACAGCCACATTTTAAAAATTGACAGAAGCTGTTTAACACTAAGTTTGACATTTTACTGCAAATTATGGCTTTAGTCGATTGAATTAATTCAAAACATTTCTTTCCCCTTTCTATTAAATTTTTTTTAATAATCGGGTCAAACATTTTTCAGGATTAGGTTTTCTGAGGATAAAAATCATCCGTCAGCTTTGCTAATATTCAGTCTTTATACTATGAATGTGGATAACACATTTTATTGGACCAAATTTGTTAGTTCTGTGGTAAAAGGCGTAATAAAAAAAAACAAAAAAAAAAAAACAAGAAGCACTTTCTCTGCTCAACAGCTGACGTTAGCCTCCTTAGCTTTAAGGAGCTAACTAGCTTGAATGCTAGCCAGCTAGCTCAGGAAGCTAACGGGAGTTAGGAAAGTAAGGGCATAAAACGGCTCAATGTTTAAAGTCCAGTTACAACTCACCTTTAACCAGGGTACTATCAGTTTTACTGTTTATTACTTTTTCAGAACCTGTGCTAGAAGTCGCATTAGGGGAACTAGAGATGTTAGTTTTAGTGTCTTCCTCCGCACACAGCAGAGAATAGACAGAGGCCTCCATCTTTGTCCGCAGCTAACAGCGCATGCGCAAGAAATTGACCACTGAATGAAGTGAAGCGACATATTTATCGGTCTCCGCCAGGTGACGTCAATTGTTTACCTCG